AAATTCTGCGGAGGAAAATTTTTTTAAAGCAAATCGCAAAACACTATGTCTGATACGAGAGAGATACATTTTCATGTGTTTTGGAATTGCGCGAGTGTACTTGCGTTCAGAGGCTTGCAAGTGTACAAGGATTACTGCAAAACGAATGAGTTATCAAACCTTTTCTAAAACATCCAAAAAGTAGCAAATTTCTCTGTATTAAGTCCAGTGTTCAGTGCATGCATAATTTAAACCCTTTTTTTAGAAATTCCAAGATATCTCGAATTCCTCTTATAGATTTTTGTGAAACTTCGCACGCAATTCATCCAAAGAATACGTAGCGTAAAGCATTAAAAAAAAAATGCCGACCAAGGCTGAAATTGGGTTTAGGGCTAAAACCATTCTGACGTCATTGTCACGTGACATTTCTTCCGATTTCCCCCAAAATAAAACCATAATAAAGCTTAGTCTTGTAATCCATGTGTTATAATGGTTTTACAATAAAGGACGAATTGTTTAAGTATAAGAGATTCAAAGATGGAGTGTGTGCCTATCAAATTACTGGATCTAGCCACCTAAGGAGTTCTTTAACACTTGCTTCTTTTAAGAACCGGGTGAGAAAAGTGTCATTAGAACTGACACCTGTAAGAACTGTCACCTGTGTAACTCTTAGAATAATTTATGAGGAGGGCAGAGTTTCCGAGTTTGTATATTTTTAGTTGTTCGATTTTCTATTTTCTTAGGTAGTTACCTAGTTAATAGGTGTCCACAATTAGTTTACACTTGTCTAAGCTAGGCATTTGACACATTAATAAAGTCTTTATTAGTACTATCATCATTATCATTATCATTATTATTATCTTTGCAATTTGTACACCTGACTTATTTGTGCCTGTCCCTGCAACATGTTGCCAAGTGAATTTACCTTTTTGGGAAAATAATGCCTTTGGATAGAAGTCTAGGACAAAACCTTTGTAACAAAGGAAGGGTTGATAGAAACCATGAAGATATTTGGGGTAACCATAGCATTTTCATGGATGAGCTTAAAATCAATGTTTGCAGAGCTTTTCCTAACAAATTAATAAAAAAATTAATAATGATTCTATGGCGAATGGCAAATGCCCATAAATTTATGTACATTTTTCAACAGAAGATTCATCTCAGCATCATCCATGAGGATTATTTAGCATAATTTATATCGGTTCAATTCCTAATTGTAATATAGTGTTGATTTATTGAGTGGGACTGTTAATGACGCGGATGACGGCATTAGTACCACAATGGTTGTTAGTAATAGTGTATAACGTATCTCAGTCGCTCATGTTTGGTAGGTTCGATCCGAAGCGTTGGGGAGGAAATTTCCCTCAACGGTCCACTGTCTCTCCGCTGTTGTGCCGTCTGCTCGTAAGCATCCACGTTTCAGGAATTTCAAATCCACTTTCTTTATCTTTCGTGAAGTCTTATAAGCATAGCTTCTTTAACTCTTCGAGAATACCAGTTAAGGTCTCGATCACTAACCCTAACCCCGTTCCATAGTGGATGATGCCCGATCTTATGGGTGTGTTCAGAAACGGTTGAGGTTTGAGTTCTTGAAAGCCGTATATCACGTATATCCCTACCGTGTTCCTCAATCTGTTCATGCATTCCTCTTCCCGTTTCGCCAATTCGCACTTTTCCGCGTTCGCGAAAAGTAAGGCGAAACAGCTATTAAAAGGACAGTTCCAACTGAAGACGACGTGGAACATACATACAATATAAGACGTGTAACACTCTTGCTGCTCAACAATATGTAAGGCCACCATATTCATATTTGTAATGCATAAATTAATTATATAATTAGAGGACTTCCTCAGGTAAAGCTAAGCTCAGCTGAGCTTGCAGAGATCCCCTGCTAATAGATTATGTTATAGACTTAGTACATTAGAAATTAAGTGGTAAAAAAAGATTGATTAATTGATTGAACCAATGCCCAAGAATGCAAAAATATCACGTCCAGTTGAGATGCATTGCCCAAGAACGCCTCTCTAGGTTTGCTTACCGTCAGTGGCTGAGTTAGGACTACGATATATTTTTTTCAGTTTCCTCCACAACAATTCCAGAACCAAGAACTCCTCCTGAGACTACCAGCCCACCAAGCACAACTGAGGAATCCAGTACCCTTCCACCCACGACAACATCTGAACCTGTGACTACATCTCCGCCTACAACTACCTCGGAACCTACTACCAGCCCACCTCCAACAACTACCTCGGAGCCTAATATCAACCCACCCCTTACAAATACCTCGGAACCTACTACCAGCCAACCCCCTACAACTACCTCGGAGCCCACTACCAGCCCACCCCCCACAACTACCTCGGAACCTACTACCAGCCCACACCCCACAACTACCTCGGAACCCACCACCAGCCCACCCCCAACAACTACCTCGGAACCTACTACCAACCTACTCCCCACAACTACCTCGGAACCTACTACCAACCTACTCCCCACAACTACCTCGCAACCTACTACCAGCCCACCCCCCACAACCACCTCGGAACCCACTACCAGCCCACCCCCCCCAACTACCTCGGAACCTACTACCACCCCACCCCC